GTGCTATTTCTTTGTTCATAAAGAATTGGCTTAACTTATTTATTTCAACAATTTTCACTATTACGCTGATAAGAAATACACAGTGATGACCTGGTCATTTACACTTTAGCGATGTCAGATAATCTTCGCAAACTTACCGCTGGATCATGTATATCATTAAGCATTTAAATGGCTTCAAAAAGTATCGAATTCAGTTTCTTCTTCTTTTCTCCAAACAAATACAACCTCAATGATCTTTCCAATTTTGCCTATTATTCCACTTTTAATCTATTACGGACGGATTGTTTCCGCTCTCGTAAATATCCAAAGAGGAGGGACCTTCTCTGAAAGTAGACCGGTGTTTGCTGAAACGGATGTTTGGTCGTTTATTGATGTTGCGAACTTTGGTGACGACACACAACTTACAAATGATGGAGTCTTATATTATCATACTACATTCGAAAATATCAATTTTGCTTTCTCATACGGTTCCATAGAAAATACAGGTTCGCTTCATATCAACACTCAAAAAACAAAAGTAACCAACAATAAATTGTTCAACGCGCTTTCTAATCTAGGGTTATTTACATTATTGACTTCTTCTGAAGGTGTTCCAAACATAGACATACTGTTCATTTACAATGGGGGCGAAATTAATCATATTGTCAATGGCGCGGCAGGTTTGCTTACGGTGGGTTCTCTTCGTAACCAAGGTATCTTGTGTCTTACTAACGCGCGACTTACCGTTACCCAAGAAGAATATTCCAAATTCTCCACTGGTTTAATTGTACTTAGTCGATCCGCTTTCATTGGTTCATCGACTACTTACCTGTCCTTTTGCTTTTCAGATACAACCTCTTCACTTATGCTTACAGAACCACCCAACCAACCTGTTATAGTTCACGATTTTGGTGGACCGCAGAACTGGATCATTGCCAGCGTCGGATCCAGTGGTCGTTATAATTACGAAAATGGGATGTTAACTATTACTGGCAACGACTTGTCATATCTATTTAAAATTGGCGAAGGCTACCTGGGTTCATTTTTGACAACTATGGGAGGCCAAGACTTTCGTATTATGTACTCCACTAACCCAGGCTCTCATCCTTGCAGCACCACTTGTCGGTCATTTCCAAACACAGCGCCTGGCCAATTCCCCACTGTCACAACTACAACAGAACCTCAAGGTTCTACAGCTATCCTTACAATTACCACTTTGAGTGACAGCTGGACTACTATTACAGCATATGTAGAACCCCAGGAAAGCCCTGAAGAGACCACTACTGATATCACAACCGAAACTGCTGAAGAGACCACTACTGACATCACAACTGACACTCTGGAAGAGACCGCTACTGAAAGCACAAGTGAAACTCTGGAAGAGACCACTACTGAGTTCACAAGCGATACTTCCGAAGAAACCACAGCAGCGACCACAACTGAAACCGCTGAAGAGACCACAACTGAGTTCACAAGTGACGCCACGAGTATGACCACTCCAGAGACAATGCCTGAGACGACACCTGAGACCTTTCCAGAGACAACCGCTGAGACAAGTCCTGAGACAAGTCCTTCTACCACTCCAGCAACAACATCGGGAACTGATACAGAAAGTACTCAAGATATAATCTCCGAAACGATTCCTGACTCTACCACTGAGACTACCACATCAACTGACCAAGAATCAACTGGCCAAGAATCAACTTCAGAGCCATCTCCGGTACCATCACCAGTACCATCACCAGTACCATCTCCAGATACATCTTCTGTACCATCTCCTGAACCAACACCTGCTCCATCTGTAGATTCATCTTCGGTTCCATCTTCAGTACCATCGCCATATCCATCTTCTGTACCATCGTCTAGTCCATCTCCAACGACATCTCCAGAGTCATCACCAGTTCCATCTCCAATGCCTTCTCCAGAATCATCAATGGCCTCACCTACTGATACCTCTACTGCCCCAAGTCCCGATCCTTCTCGTAGTAGCACAAAAACTACAGAAACAACTCCTACGACCCGTACACCTATTACCACGGTTACAACAAAGACTCCCTTTAGTACGTCCACAACTTCAACTATTCATACAACCGATACCACAATTCCAAGCTTTGTTACTGTAACTAGTGGAATCGCCTCAACAGATGTCACAATTGTAGCTTCAGCCATAACCGTCTTACCAACTGTCCCATCTACCCTGGATGATCCAAACGTAAATACCCACTCAACCGACAGTACTCGTTCTACAGAGACAATTGCTGTGTTTGTTACCCCTACAACAGCCCATGG